ATAATCGTCTCTTTATTAGTAAAGAAGCAGTTTTATACAGTAAGTAGAATAACAGGTGCCAAGGTTAGCCATGAACAGTAAGTGCTAGAAGTTGCACAAGGTGTGCAACGGATAGGCGCGCACAAGCTGTGCAGTGATAGGCGCGTACATAGGTGTGCAGTGATAGGCGCGTACATAGGTGTGCAGTGATAGGCGCGCACAAGCTGTGCAGTGACAGGCGCGTACATAGGTGTGCAGTGACAGGCGCGTACATAAGTGTGCAGTGATAGGCGCGTACATAGGTGTGCAGTGACAGGCGAGTACATAAGTGTGCAGTGATAGGAAGGCAGAAGAAGGTGTAACGGCCTCCTCTCGATTGTGCAAAACACAATAGAATGAAATACTTAAGAACACAAGTGGAGCAATGTTTCTTCCGGACTCGTCCTTGAGAAAATTCTCTGCCTCCCAAGTTGTCTCGTCATAACCCTTCCACTTAACCAAAACTCGGGTGTGCCTTTGCATACTCGGTGATCCAAGATTTCTTCCACAATGTACCCTGTTTTGCCGTCCAAATCAGTTGCAGGCGGCCGAAGCGGCTGGCGGCGCCCAGGAATTGCGTTCACTTCGTATGGTTTCAGCGTGGTCACATTGAACACAGGGTGGCAGCGTAAGGTTGTCGGCAGCTGAGCCTGACTGAATGACACTGCGGAATCGTCGGAGGCCTCAGACGTGCCAGCTGACTGCCTTGCGGCTAACGTTCTCCAGTCCATGTTCCGCGCGCCATCCACTGCTGCTGTATGTTCAGTCAGGCTATCATATCGCCGGGTTTCGGCACCAGCTTGCACTGCTGGCTTGACAACGCGACGATGGTCCACACAACTCAATGATACGCACTTTGCGGCCGGGACGACACGAGTATTGCCACATCTTTGCAAGGCATCGTCAAACTTGGCAAGTGCCTCCGCAGTCAAGCCATGCCCTCGCCGCCTCGGGGAACTCCTCTGGGACAGCTGCTCCGTTTTTATTGCTTCCTCTAATGCCAACTTTTTGGCCCAAATGTCCTTGCGGAGTTCAATCTCCCTTTTCTTTACATCTAACTCCATGGTGGCGAGCTCCTCCGCCGCTTCCAGCTCTGTAGCTTTCAGTTCGACCTTGAGCTGGGAACCGCTACTGGCCCTGGACGGGACAGCGGACACCGAGCTCCTTTTATCCGCAGCCGCGGCGAGTTCGGGCTCCTCGTGTCCATATCTCAATGGTGGCACACCCTTGGTTGAGCGTTGGCTCGTACGCGGAGCTGACGCCGAGGACATGATGCTAACTTTACGTTCCACAGCACTATAACTTTACTACAATGTCTACATACTACTACACTCTACAGAACAAGCTCAGTCCGAGATCCGGCTCGAAGGACCAGTTGTTTAGGACTCTTTCCCTTTCGGTGAAGACTGTATTAAATTCTAATTGTTCGAACTCTGGTGTAGTGAACTGACACTCAGAAAACAACATGCAGACATGGAACACAACTAAAAATGCAGAGAATGAAACCAGGAAAACGCAAAGGCAAACAACAACCACAACTGTCACTAATCTGGGCAAGAAGCTAACCACCATTCTGTCAAACTTGACAAACTCTCTCTCAAATCGCTGTCCTCAGCGAAACGTGCCCGCGTGCGTGCATTGGCTTGCGCCGCATGCATGTACATAACGACGTGGCATAGAGAGAAAATGCATGCAGCGTACAGAAAATGCATGAATCATCGTAGCCATAGAGATACTAATTATGGTGACTGCCAAAGTCCGCGTGCACGTGCAGCGCGGAGTGCAGGTGCAACAAAAAAGAAAAGCAATAATAATATTTGAATGCAGAACAAAACAGAAACTAGCAATCTGCTGAAGTGGAAGACTAAAGAATTGTTGATTACGGAGGCTCGAGGTGAAAACAGTGTCTGTCAAGGGGTGCTTGCACCCAGCGACAGGGTGACAGCACACCCTGTCAGCGAGAGTAAGTTTCGCCAAGTAGATCGTAGCGGAGTTGCCGCGGATGGCGATAATGCAACGGATCAAGTACTAGTAAGTACATGTACATTGCAACCAAATTAGTGTGTCAACAATTCTACTTATAATAAATTAGCACGATTCACAAGATATTCCGCTCGTGAACATGTCGTGGTACGAACACGCATAGCAATTACTGTATCGTAAAATGTGTCGACGTAGACGTAACAGATATGCACTCGTGATGTAACAGATCTAACAAATAAATATTACACTCGCGAAATGCATAGCAGTAATACACACCGCACCAATATTGCAAGCGACCTAGCAGGTCTTAACAATACTGCCCTTGCAGCATGTGACAGTTCTGTACACAAATCGTAACTACAATACACTAATAGTATCAACGTGCAACATGTGACGTGTGATAGTTCTGTACAAGAGGCATCATGCCAATGGCATACATGTACATTGCCAGAGGGTCTCCCTGGGTTGTTCCGTCCTCCGACAAGATGCAATCACCGTCGACATATAGGCATTCAGGCGTCCTGTAGGTGTTAATAAAAACAGTGGCCAGAGGCGGGCAAAGGTGTTGAAAATTCCGAATGCAGACGCTGCGATTCAGGCGGTTGAAACCATTTGTTGCGTCTGCCATCAGAATTCCTTCGGTCTCGTCTCGAGCAACCGCCTCCTGCATAGCATGTATGCCCGCCTCCACCCCGCAGTCCTGACCGGCGCACAGCTGGGAGCAGCCAACAACCTGCTGAACCGCAGGGCCCACAATGGACACAATAATTATTGCTTTCCCCACAATGCGACGAACAACCTCGCCGATGCCAATTGGTCTGACACGGGGCCGCTTGTGCAAGGGCAGCAAGCGACATGCAGTGAACGCTATCAATGCACCAGCATCAATATGCTCAGTGGCCACTCTCCTGGCACAAGAAGCAAGCGCATCACACAACCTAACCGAAGCGACCGTGAAACAGGAGCACATATGACGCCAGGCCTCAGCATCCACACCGCTGGGTCCCGCTGCGCTCTGTGTGCCTAGCGCTGCCTGTCGGATAGCACGGCGGCCCAGCGAAGCAAAATAGATGGGATGCGGAGGAGGAGGCGGCTGTCCCGGTATCAGAGCCTCTTCGCACACGGGCTCAGCCTCATAATGGTTCTGCTTCAATATATCGATTACTGGAACACCGTCAATTTCATCACTGATGCTGTGCACTCCACCACCACGATCAGCACCAAGGCAGCGCAGAGGAGCCGATAGCCTCCCAGATGCGACACAATCCGCAAACTTTCGTGCAGGATCATCAGGACGACCTCGAACCCTTGTACTGGACTTCTCTCAGAGATTGTGGATAGCCTCTGTTTCCAACAATAATTCATTAATCTGACCATGAAACCACTGGTCCAAACGCCTGTCCAGGAGCTTGGCATGAGCAGGAGGATACTGCGCGGAACCTGCAGCATCAGCATCTAAAATACTGCTGCCACCATCAACGCGCTGTCAGCGTATGATCCTGCATCACCAAAACAGTTGAAATAAGTAGATAGAGTTGTTATAAATCTCGGCCAACATTTCCGCGAGGCACTTGAAATGCATTCGTAGCAAGATGCAAACACTTACCATATGCTGTGGAAAGAGCCGTCATAGTCTCAGATGCCATCAAACTCCCCAGACAAAACGTTTCACGAGGGGCTGTCACACGGCCGCAGTCATTCACACCAGGTACTACTGTGGTCGACAAGGGTCGATCCTGAACATGTTTCTCTGGAGAAGACTCCGACAATGACTGAGCACAATGAACCGCACCACCATCACGCGCAATTGATGCACATGACGAAGCAGCACAAACACCATGGACAGCATCAAGGTCGATACTGTCAGGAACCAATGCGACAGGGACGCTGGCAGGCAAAGGTCCAGCCATGGAACTGCAACGAGAGACAACAGCCCCTGGCACTGTTGAAAGGTCATCACCCACATGTGCACTCTCATCAGCAGCCGCCATCCGAAAAACAGCATTATGGGTATGGTTCGAGTTACCACCCCCGCCGGCATTGGACAATACCACGTGGTTCACTGGAAACAGAGGATCCACATCGCCTTCCGGCAACATTATTGAGATGTTGTGAGGATTCCGACATTTCTCACTCACGCCAGGTTTGCAATCCAAACAAGTCCGACCATCACGTTTACATATGCATTGCCGGCACTGATCAAATCCATTCTGTGCCTGCGTCTCTGGTGGTAACAGTTTGGCATGGAAGTTTAACCTCATAGTGCCATGGCGCATGGGCCTTCGTGCTCCCCTCCTGTAATGTGCTAGAACTAACACCATAATTATTTGGCATGTACCCTCACTTCGTAGAGCACAACGGCGCGCTCTTCTTCTCCGTGATGTGCACAGTTGCACCTTCTCTCCCCCTCTGTTTAGAGGTGACATAACTCGCATCATTATTTTATTTTTTTGGCGCTACACTCTGTGTAACGCCGTTCACAGAGCACAATGCGCGCTGCCTTCTCCTCTGTGATGTGCTAGTTGCACCTTTTCTCTCTCTCTCTGTCCCCCCGTTTCTGCATACTAGGTGACATAATTCGCATCTTTTTTGGCGCTACACTCTGCCTTTATATACTGCTCTTGTGTGGCTTCCACGGTATTCATTGTTATTACCTGACGATGGCCAAGTGCCGAAACGTTGTAAAAATAACGGAACTGGTTCGGATGTGATGTGCAGCGGTTTGGGAATGGGTGTGTCCACCTGAATTCTTTTCCAACATATACAGTTAAGAAAAAGTAGTTGTCCTCGTGACGTGTGGTCATTTCGTTCCTGACAATAACGCGAATCAGAGGCTTCATAACAAAGCATTTTAACACAGCGTCTACAACTGTTTCCTTAAATCCTAATAATACTCACAGATAATCGAGGTTTGTTCATCACGTATCCAGCAGTACTCTATATACACACAGTTATAATTACTGTTCTCTGCGTTCAGTGGTGCAGTTGATAATACTTACAGTGTTTGGAGGTTTGTTAGACCAGAGAACACACCGTCACTTAAAGTCTGGATCTGATTATTGTTCAAAAATCTACAAACGACAAAGCACAAAGACAATGTTGTTGTTGCTTAGTTCCAGGTAGTGCGCAAAACACCGAGTCTAGGGTATTATTATTATTATTATTTTGCTTGTTTGCGTTGGCATCAACCTGCATAAAGCAGGTATATAGCCTTCGCTTAAGCTGCCATAAAAAAGAAAGCTCATCCTAAGCGAGAGGGCTAGAGGGAAATATAACGATAACCAGATACAGAATACAAAGAAATCCAATGAGTTCAACGTACAATTCAAAACAAGAAAGAAAGTAAAGAAAAACAGAGCCGAATCTACCGATTGATCCATCAATCGACAAAGGGGACTAATCCGTTAGTGTTGCAAAGTAGAAGCTGATTATAGTTGCAGATCTCCAGGCCAGGGCTAGCATATTGCCGATTCTGGATAGGTCTCCGCAGCATTTGATGTGGTAATTATCATAATGTTTGATAAAATTGTTAGAGTATCTAGTATCTAGAGTACCGAGTATCTAGTATCTAGAGTATCTAGTGTAATTGTATCCGTTATTATTGTTAAGGGTATCTAGTGTAATTGTATCCGTTATTACTGTTAAGGGTATCTAGTGTAATTGTATAACTTCAGCCATTACACACAGCACACATTAGTTCCCTCCACTTTCGACGATCCTGGGCGAGCTGCCTCAGTGCAACTAGATCCTCGTGTGATGTGAGGGAGTTTGTGGATCTGGAATTTTTCAGATCGTTGTTGATGGATCGCGGGAGTGTTGTTCTCGGGCGGCCTCGGAACCCTGAGCTTCCTGGCTGAAAGTATGCTGACATAGCCTGCTGGACCGGGGATGAGGTGTCTAGTCGAAGCATGTGGCCAAACATTCTCCACCTAGCAGACTGGATGATTCTGCTGAGTGGCTTGGAGCCAGTGCGCTTGTACAGTGCTTCATTGCGTATTATACGGGGATATTTGACCCATATGACTGCTCGTAACTGCTGGCGGTGGAACGAGTCAAGTTTCTTTTCTTGAGTCTCTGTCAGGCTCCATGTGCCGCAGTTATAAAGAAGTATTGGGAGAATAAAGCTGCCGTATAACCTAATCCGAAGGGGTTCACGGGCATGGTTACCTCTTAGCCATATCACCCACAGCTGATGTAAGGCGCATGTTGCTAGACGTTTTCTCCGACTGATATCTTCCTCCACTCCAAGCATCGATCCTAGTTTGACCGTGTTCCGCCATCGCTCGTCTACTCTGTCCTTTTCTCTTTTAATTGTAGTATATTTGGTTTTGGCTTCATTCATTTTTAAATTGTATTCCGCTAACGAGGATGATAGTATGGGTTGATTGTCATGCAAATATTGTAGGCTGGTGCTGATGAAGTCTACGTCATCCGCATACGCTGTTTCATTGGGCAATTGAAGCTGAGTATCCAATGCTGGTCGCGGTGAGAGTCGCTCTCGAATCAACCTCAATGCAGCCTCGAGGTAGACAGTAAACAGGACTGGCGATAGAGAATCACCTTGTGGGGTTCCATTATGTGTGACTAATGGTTGGCTGAGAATGTTATTCAGCTTTACTTTTATTGTGGTGTCTGTCAGAAGGCACTGGATGATGTGCAGCTCATCATGATTAATGACTGTTGACAGTACATCGATCAGCCTGACCCTTGATATAGTGTCAAATGCCTTTGACATATCAATGCCTAAGATTGAGATCTCCGACGCAACACGCTGGCATCTTGCTGATAACCACCGATAGCTATATACCACGTCTCCAGTACTTCTCCCTGACCGGAACCCGCTCTGGTTCAGTGACAAGTACCCATTGATAGCTGGCTTGATCCGCGTCAGGATGACCAATGAAAGAAGTTTACGTAGGGTGTTCAACAGGGTAACTGGCCTTACATTTCCAGGAGGACCTCTTTTCTTTCCCGGCTTTGTCTAGGGTATAGTTGTTCTAATCTAAAAGGCCGAAACATGACGCTGTTTTCAGGAATAACCTAGACTCCTAACCACAACATGATTCATATGCAACTTGGTTGGTTAGGTTGCACACTTCACATATACCACTGTAACATACAGTTTCCGTCATTTTTCTTTCCATTGTCAAGCATGAGGTTTGAGGTTGGTTGCAAAGCTAAGAAAACGCAATTTCTGAAGTTGCTTTATTTGACACTGCAGAAAAATAACTAACCACCCAAGCATGAGAATATATCCTGGCTTGAATTGTTACAAATTGCGTGAGAACTGAATATGACGTTAAACAGTATACCTAAACGGGGACTTCCCCAGGGACTCATAGTCTCATAGTGTTTGGCGGATCATGGCGGTAGAAAAGGTACAAAACCCGTTTTTTATGGTTCGTGTAGTTAATATTTTGTTATGTTGGCAACCGCCATTTTTGTTAGGTAAATAAAGAAATGGAGCAGAAATAACGGAAGTGCGTGCTATAAGGTTGAAGGTTCTGGAAATTTCAATGCTTTTCGAACAGAATCTGTCATTGTTTTAGAGAATTATCCGCAATGGGCGAATGACTCATGGCTTCAATTAGTAATCTAAAGGGCATAATTATAATTTTCGTTCCGCGGTTCCTAAAACTATAGAACATTTGTAAGTTACGTTCGGGCCTGATTGGAAATATTTATTTCCATTGCTATCAGGTTCGGCCTAATTTTCTCTGTGCTGCGCTGATGAGTTCAAAAAGAACGAAACAGCATGCTGTCCGCAGATTGAACATTTGTAAGTTATAGAGGGATACATTATTTTCCTTTAGACACTGTAGGGCAGCTCTGAAAACGTAGGACATTTTGCTGCTCCATTTACTGTGTGTGGCTGTCAAGGTATCCAATGCATGTAACCCTTTACATCCAACTATTAGGGTTTCACCTCTTGACGGCACCCAGTTACTGCTCTGGACATCTGGACACCGTCTTCTTATAACAACAAATGATGAGAGCGCAGGAGGAGAATGGAAAACAAAAGTCAGGGCAGATCTTGCAGGCTACGCTGGTCAGGTCTTGAAAGTGCGGTGCATAGTCGGGAGTGCAAGTGCGCAGCGTAATGTTTTGAAGAAAAAAGGGACATTCGTTGGTAATGCATGGAGTTTTCAGGAACATTCTGTATCAAACAAAAACACGTCACTTTATCGGGAGTTTTTGTTTGAAATCCCCAGGACCCCGAGAGTAGTGAATGAAGCCTCTTTTATGGTCGAAAGAAACACAATGGATGAAAATGCAATACAAATTTAATGTGTCGCATCCCTGGCGCTCAGTGACCGGACCCAGGAATCACTACGAGCGGCAACTGAATAGACGTGTGGCCTCACGACAACCCGCAGGGCCTGCTGGAGAGCCGGGTCAGCCGGGTCACGCGCCCGGCTGGGGAACTGCACGACCTGGCTGACCAGATAACACCGGGTCCAGTCTGACCCGGTCCAGTCTGACCCGGCTGAAAAATGTCTCAAACTGACAATGGATTCCTAAAATACCGGTATTTTACGACTCGCGGACCCCATCTGTTGCAAATCTAGCGCAACCGTACACACTACAGTCTACAAGCGACAGAAACTCGGCTAGGGTCAACTGGGGTCAACTGGTTCGAGCGCGATCTAGCCAGGGGCGAGCAGGAAGTAAGGACATTCAAAGTCGATGGGGCAGGCAGTCAAAAGCGTAACTTTGGCTATAGCTTTTGACACAGTTGCAAGCTTTCAGCCGACTGGTGATTTGGACGATGGAGCCCACAGCGAAGAGAAAAAGAACTCACGCTTTCCAAGACTCTTGGAAGAAAGGTCGACCCTGGCTGGATTACGACCATGCCAGTCTATCCATGTCATGCGCTTTGTGCAAGACGCATTTCTAAAGGAAGACGAGCGGCGGTGGATTACGTCGCGATGTTCTCTAAAATTTCCGATTTCCGGGTAATAAATTCGCCTTTCTGTTTTCCTGCGTTTTGAGCAGCCTTTTTGCTTGTTTCTGCCGGATGATCTGACCCGGCTTGATCCGGCTGGCCTGCATGCGCCAGGTACACTCTGACCGGGCTGTGTTGAATGTCTAGAGCAGGCCATGAAGCCAAACACAACCCAGGGGCCAACCAATATAGCTAGCTTGGTCTAAGTTCAACCCCACACGATTAAGAGACAAAGACTGTTAGTTTTACGTTGTGAGTAGTCATTCAAATCCGAGCTCAAAGTAAACCAAGACAGAGAACTGAGACCGAGTCTCGACTGCAGTAAAGAAGTGAGCGAGAGCTTCTTTTATACGAGGTATTTCCAGGAACTACAAGAACCGGTAAAACTGGAATATGAGCAGCCAGTCAGCAGAAAAGCAGAATGCACGTACGTAATCATTCGAGAAGAAAGAGAAAGAAAGACATGGAGAATAAAGACCAAATTGGGACGTGAGGAACCCGCTCATCCAACGTGCCATAGTTCAGTGGCTCCCTAATGGTAAGTTCTGCTGCATTCTTGGTCTTGCTTGCGTGATACTCTGACCTGTTGCGCGGTGAAGGTTTGATTTATGCACATGTATCCTTTCTTGCACTTAGCTCTTGTTATACAATGTCATGTTATTCTTGCCTCCTTTCACGAAGCAAGGAGGCATCGTGGAACCCTGTAGAACGTCGTTGTGACGTGGTTGTGCACAAAGCCTGGAGTCACATTTCCAGGAAGCGAAGCACTTCCAAGAAACGTACAACGCGAGAACCCACCTGACCTCGTTCCGGCTTTGGGTCACATGATGTGCCATGCCAAGAAGGCATGTCACCTATGTGGGAAAGGGCATGTCGCTCAACCTACATGCTAAGCACGTGGGACAAGACACTGGCCAAACCACATTCTATCAAAAGGGCATGACAGCTCAGCACAGAGATGCTCACTATGTAGATCCTGCTCTCACATGACTATCAGGCAGCAATCGTCACGTTCAGGGACGTGACAAATGCAAACCCCAAAAACCAGAAAAGTAACTTTATAGAGTAGTGCAATTAGGAGTATAATAGATGCAGACATGGCCAGACAACAACGAGTTCATGGAA